CACCCGAAACAATCGATCTGCCTTTCAACTTCGTCCAGTTCTCTTCGTCAATCTCCTCTGCTTCGACAGTTTCTTGCAACAGTATTTTAGCGCGTTTTGCGCTCATTTCGGCTTCCTCGCTGCCTTCGTGAACGCGATCGTTGTCGAGTTCATCCAGCAATTTTTCTTGGTTGTAAAACGACCCTTTGCCGCTTTACGCTAATTTAGCGGCCCACTCTTTGTCGAAAGTGTTTTTCGCCTTCTTTGGCCTACCTTTAGCCGATGAAAACGGGCAAGATCGTTTTTTCTTCTTCGAAGACATCCGGCACTGATTATGGCGCGCAAATCGCGTCTCGACTCAGCATGATCTTGATGTCATGCGACTTCTTGCCTCGATAATTAATTCATTTGACAGAACTTGTCAACTCTCAATTAAGTAATTAATATGCAAAAAATCTCTCTCGCGCAATAACTAGCGGCAGATATAATATTTTTTCGTGGAGTTTTTTTTTTTATCTTAAAGATTACCTGAAGATTTAACCAACCGCTTACAAAAGTAAAATTATGCAAAATGGCAAATTTTCCCCTTACTGATACCTTAAGACCGAATTCGAAGATGTCAGAAACGGAAATAATTTACCTTTCAACCGTAGAGATTCGGTGAACCGCGGAGCCTCGCTCGATGCCTAAAATCAACTGTTCAGCACTGAAAATGGTGGCTTTGTAAATCAAGCAGAAGTCATCTACAGCTATTACTTGGCCTGCGAAACATTTGATATGGATATCATTCCCGATTTCTTCCAGCATCGGAAGCGAGCGAACCTCCTAAAAGTCATATTTCCACATCACCTTCAGCGCGTGGAGATGTTTGCCGTTCAGCGATCAGATGAAAATGAGCTAGAGCGAAAATTTCTCCCGGCATGCTTTGCGAGTGGTGTCGAACACCGCCTGATTAGGATCCTGACTGATTTTTATTTGTGTGCATATAGCGAGCCTATTACGTACTCAATACTCTTTACCTCAAACTCAGCCACATGACAGGTAATATTTGTAGAGTTAAACCATCCAGTTCCCATTACTGTCACCTTCTTGCAAGGACGAACGCGTTTATCGCATAGACCATCTCCCTGTAATCTAAGAATATATTTTAAGTTAAGTCTAAGAAAAACGAAGCTTAGACTATTTTTGTTACTGGGAAGGATAGATTATCACTCAGCCGACGCGAAATTTTCCATCTCCGATGTACGTAATAGCTGATTTTGTTTGTTCTTTTTCTTTTGATTTGAGAACCTATCTAACTTCCCCGCAACCACCTTCCTACCACCTCAAATACCTATTAACTCAGCAACTTAGCTAACTAGTATCCTATATATATCTGCCTGCCTACATATTTGGTCACTGATGTTTCGTTTTCACTGAAAGATTAAAAAAAATCAAACAAACAAACAAAAAACAAGCAAGCAAACAAACAAACAACAAAAAACAAACAAATGAAAACATTCGAAACCTCTTTAAACCCTCGGTTTNGGGGGGGGGGGCATATAGCTGCAGTGATAAACTTAAATGTAATTTTTTTTCCTTCAGTTGAAACGTCAAAAATGTGGCGATGAACACATTAGTAACTACAAAGTTGTTAATTACTTGACACTGCCACGACATCTGCATTTTCAGTGCAGGTGAGGCCAATCTTGTCTTTGACAGAATTTGTCGTTCTTTTTTTCTACTTTTTCTAGATTTCGTTCTCATTTTGGACAAGGATTTCGTCACTTTCGGTTGTTTTCTAACTTTCTGGGTAAAAAGTGAAATCCCAGATGGTGGATCTAAGATGGCGGACTTACGAGTCCATGGGAAAATCTGGCAGAACCAGGCAGGAGGTGATACAGTTCAAATCACCGATTTTGGCGAGTAAATGATAAGTTGAGGGAACTTAACAATTAAAGGCTATTCACACACTACAAAATAAGCATCTTACTTATGGTGGAGGCACGAAAGGAATTCGTATTGACTACTTCAAATGAATATCTGTGCTTTGAAACTGATACTTGCATAACATTATCCAGTGGATTTCGTTTTCACATGGCTTTTCTTGTTGTAGAAAAACTAAGCCAAAGACAGTTAATTAAATATGCATAAATTCGAGACAAAAGGCCATTTTTGCAGGGGGTTCACCTAAAATATTTTGACTTCCTTTTTTCCCCATAATCATATAACTACCAAGCCCAGCATTTGCGTCAAGTTTGAGCGAGATCGGTGATTAAAGCTGTATCACCTCCTACGCGTTTCTCATGGACACACTCTTAAACCGTCGATTAAAATTCGATGACGTTGTGACAAACAAACAATATCTCATCTTGCAGAGCAAGCCAAGCACTGTTTACTAGAAGCTTTCTTGTTTTTTTTTTTTTTGATACGTCCATAACAACGAAAACTTAAAGGAGGGGTACATTCCATCAACCCCGCTCTTGTACCACATGGTGAGTATGAAATTAACATAAATGGCAATTTGTAAGAGCCTAATTAGCTTTCCTTCAAGCTAAATACCGTTGACACTTTAATAAAGTCATTCATTCTCATTTCGTTCATTCCCAAGTTCGGCCTCTGATGTTTAATCGACAGAATCGATAAAATTGTCATTTTACTTTCAGTTGGACTTATTCATTCTATGAAAGTGGATATATCGTAAAATGGAACTTTGGGCTAAGGCTTTAAAGACAAGATTGATCGATTATGGTAGCTATGTGCGTAGTAACGTGGGTTGAGTGTATAACTGCATTGATCTCTATCTCCGGATTTTAAAATCATCTATTGTTACTTACTTGGAGAGACTTGGCTTTTGATGGACAGGGATTGAGCAGTCTGCCGCTGTATAGTCTTTATTGCAAACACACGAGCCATTGACACAGTTTCCATTAAAGGCGCAGTCGTTGGGGCACAATAGCTCAACGATTTTATTTCCAATGGAATCCGCACCTTGTTTCCCATTGCTACTATCATTTTGATAACTGGACGCACTTATAGCAGCCACATACCCACATTCACTCGTCAGCATAGAAACAATTCCAATGGCAAATGTATAATCTCCGGTCATCTGTGAGTTCAAAAAGAGAAATATATCTAACGAAGAGAACTCAGGCTGGATTGGTATGGAGAATACACTTTATGAGGTAAATAACTCAGAAAGTAAAAAAAAGGTAAATACGTAAATAAATAATCTAGCTTTATACACGTTTTGTAATCTTTTTTTTTTTTTTGACTTTTTCGTTTTGTGTCCTTTGTTTTTGTTATTTTTCTTTCGCTTCTTTCACTTTTGATAAACACTCTACTAATCGAGAGTGAGGTCCTTACGGGAAAATCTCAAACTGAGACCTTGTCGTAGGTCAATACGACAAGGCCGAGATTTGAGATTTTCCTGTAAAGACCTAATGTTCGATGTTAATAAGTAGGTTGTTACATGGCTTATAACAAAAGAAAACAAAACGAGGCAAAAAAGCCATCCGGTAATGGGTGCACTTATCTGGCCAGGCATTCATCGTAATAAGGTAGTTCCTAGGCCTCAATATTTTTCGCCGCTGTCAATCGTTTCGGGTCACGTGGTCCGGGGCGAAAAGTGTGGCCAAGACAAAAACCCAAAAACTGAGACAATTTATCTCAATTTTTCACTAAGCCGATTTCACGCCGATTTCGAAGGGAATTCTCTGGACATTTCTGGGACGGTGACTGCCAGAAAAAAGCAATTTAAACTCTTCGCTTTTGTTTTAACGTTAACTAGTCAAATTAAACGGCCCATTTGGATCCAAACGGACATTATAGAGTCAGAAGCATCGCCGCTTTCAAACCACAGGCAAATACTGATTACTCAAAATATTTCGTTTCTGTTTATACTTGTAACCGTAGCACTTGATCAAAGAAAACAAAAATATACCAAATTCCTTAAATTTCGGATTTAAGAGTAAGCTAGAAGAACTTTCTAAGTAAATTATTTAACAAACGTTTTACCGCTAAACAATAAACAAGAATTCGCTCGCAGCGCTGTCTTGTAACCAACAAGTTTTACGGTAAAGACATTAAACTTAACATTGCACGTAATTTCTATACGTACATCTCTGTACGAACCACTTAATCAAAGGCTTATTTACTAAACAATGACATACTACAGCAACCTTTTCTAGAATTCTCTTTAATGTACCTGTGAGAAGACGAAAAACAACAAGTCAAGTCGTCCTCGCCTTGGGCTTTGCACTCAGATCACAAGGCTGCCACACAATTATCATTTCATTATGACAACTGCAACTAGAACTGAATTCCGTGAAACACACAGATATTTTAACAGATTTGTAACGTGCAATTTATACAGGAGCGAAGTATTGTTCCAGTTTTCGGTTCAAAAGAGTCGGAACTATTAAAACATTCCGCAGTTGAACATAATTTACAGGTCACAACCTTTTAGCATTCGAAACTTGATGAAATTGGTCGCTTAGGCTTCCAGTTGAGGTGCATGTCAAATGAAAAAACGTTTGTATGGTAAGCATAATAATAGTTCTAATGTTGACCGGCTGGGAAAACTTCCATCGAAGGAACAACAGCTTTCGAGAACACAACACTTTATTCTTAGCTGTCACGCAGCCATGTTCGTTTTTACACACACAATACGGCCAATGCAGAATACCGCTGACCCCTATGATACGACGACAGAATTATCTCCTATCAACACTAACCGTAAGTTCTAAGGAAGTTGCTCTTCTGTACCAAACTGCAGCAAACTTGCTAAAAGATACAGTTTCCGATCCCATTCCTACGTGTTACAATCGTCAGCATCTTCTCCGACTGAGTTATTTGGTGAGAATGATTGAAGTTGTCCGGATAGCAAAGTCAATCAAGCAAATGAGCCCCCTCGGCTTCCTGCTGTAAAAATGTACGAAGACCGGGAATATCAATCCCCGAAGTTCAGCCAAAATCAACGAGCATTTTGTTGGATTCTGCTGCTGACCCAAACGCATGCGCATTCTGTTATAGCTTAGGCTACTCCGGGCTGTTCGCCTGGGATACGTCACAGAAATCAATCTGACCGCAAAGGCCGGGAAGAAAGCCGTACAGGAACTAGGCAAAGGTCAACTAACGCGTAGTACAAAAACTTCTGCATTCTTTTTGTTCATCGACGACTAACAACATGAGCATGCTTTTCATAATGCTACCGACTGTTTTCTTCGGCGTGTTTTTACTCTTTTGCCCGTCGAGGAAAGTTGAAATTTCTTCTTAGCTGTTTCCTTCGTCTTGTCTGGCACCAACTCCTTCGCAGTTTACCATGTTAAATTCGCTGTTCTCCTAAAATTGCAGCTCGTCAGGGTAATAGAATGGTAATAGAATGCACTCTCAAAGTGCTCGATCATCGTTTTCAGTCGCTGCAATTTTCGGGAAAAAAGGAATACATACATATATATATATATATATATATATATATATATATATATATATATATATATATATAACCAAAAGAT